CTCTTTAATTCACCTGTATTTGAACCCTGCTCTCTTCCCAGGCCCCTGTCGCTATGCACTCATTCCTCCTGATTTCTGTCCTTTACAGAACTTTCTGGTGGGCTGGAGGCTGAGGGTGGGCTCTCATGACTGCTGCTTCAACCGTAGATTACTCTTGTGGCTTTGGTGGCCGTTACGGGGTGGAGAAGGATAAACAGGACAAGGCTGCACTGGGATATGACTACAAGGGAGAGACGGAGAAACACGAGTCCCAGAGAGGTGAGTAGGAGTTGAAAGGAGGGAGGTTGCAGAGTAGCACAGGGCCCTCCTTCCTTCCTTTCTGGAACCCAACCCGAGGGCCCCAGATGTGCAGGGGAAGTGGCTGGGTGGAGAGTAAGTGCATGTGGCAGGGGGGGTGACTGACAAGTTAGGTGATGGCCAGAAGGGGTTTGGCTGTGAGTCTTAGAGGCCCCTCTGCCTCACACAGCTCAGAGAGGTCTCCTTCTTCCCTGGGACACATAGGGGGTGGCTGCAGGGCTCTCCCTATTTTTTCCTATTTCTTCCTTTACATTTCCTCATCTGTCACTTCTCTCTCTTTGTGTTTCCCTCCTTTCCTCTCTCTTTTCTCCGTTCTCTTCCGACCTCTTTTCTCCCCATCTTTCCGCTCTCTTCCCATCCATGCCTCTCTCTCTATCCTCTGATTCTCATGTTTCCCTTCTAACATCTGTTTTCCACCTTCTTGTCCTCTGGTCTTTCTTCCCGCTGCTCCCTCTCCCCACCTATTCCCAGAATTCTTATCTCCTGTCATGGTTCTCAGAACTTTCTGTCCTGCAGATTATGCCAAGGGCTTTGGTGGACAGTATGGAATCCAGAAGGACCGAGTGGATAAGGTAAACCACCAGAACACCAATGTCTTGGGAAGAGTCCCCTAAGTTTAGGGAAGTGTGCAGAGAAGAGTGAGAGGCAAGGCTGGGAGAAGGATGGGACAGTGGTACTGGGTGCCCTGAGCCTATCCTGCTAGTGTCCTACACCCCCCATTGACTGTCCTCAGCATCCAGTGGGCATAACTTCCAAAGTCTGAGCTTTGACTGAAGAGAGTGGAGGGAGTCAGAGAGAGACAGAGATAAACCACAGGCAAAGGTGACGTTAGACTTGAAATTTCATTGATTACTTGGCATTGCTCAACTCAATCTTTAGTCTCTTCCCACTCCATGTCACTGTGCTCCCCTGCACTAGTTCCTCCTCATGCATTGGCTGGGGCCCTGCTACATTCTAGGCAACTGGGCTTGGAGGCATGAGATTCTAAGTACAATGACCTTTCAAAAAGGGAGTTGAGCCCATCAATTTAGAACTTCTTTACCCCTCTCTCTGCCACAAAACAATATTGGAATACCGTGTCAAATTATTGAACATCAAATGGTTGGGGATACCTCCCACAGTGGCCCCAACCCCCAATACTGCCTCCTGGGACACTACTATGCTGCCACTCCTCACACCACACATACTGTTCTCCTGCCTGCAGAGCGCTGTAGGCTTCAATGAAATGGAGGCCCCAACCACAGCTTATAAGAAGACGATGCCCACAGAAGCTTGTGAGTCTTAGCAATTCCCTCTATCTGTGCTCCTCAGCCCCCCTCCGTTCTTATTTTTCTCCTCCCCAGACCGTGTGCTCCGTGCCTTTAACTACCTAGCTTAGCTGAGGTAGGCTTGATCCCTACCCTCATATTCCCAGATTCCACCTTCTAGAAAAACCAGGTCATGTGGTTAGAGAGATAGAGTAGCATTGGGGAAGGAAAGAACTGGGGCAGAGAACACAGGATGGGAGGGAGAGAGGAGGAGGAGCCACTTGGGAAGGATGGATAGGGACAGGGACTTGGGAGGGGACTAGAGGACTGGGGCGGGGGGATGTGGACAGGGAAGGATGCTGGTTACAGGGAAAAGCCTTCTAATTTAGAGAAGGCAAGAGTCTGAGGTCACACGGCCTGACCAGGTGGAAATCCAGGCTTCAGGGCTACACTATCCCCCTCTAATCCCATTGTTCATCTGTCCATACCTCCTTACCTTCTCCTCCATAAGCCCCTCTTCACCTTCTCTCCTGGATATTTAATTGATTCCTCTTCTTCCTTCAAGTGCCCCCAACCCCAATCCAACTCTAATTCTTCTTGCCTGTGTCTGCAGCTTCTAGTGGTGCCCGTGGGCTGAAGGCAAAGTTTGAGTCCATGGCTGAGGAGAAGAGGAAGCAGGAGGAAGAGGAGAAGGCTCAGCAGATGGCCAGGCGGCAACAGGAGCGAAAGGCAGTGGTAAAGATGAGCCACAAGGCTCAGCAGCCGGCAGTGACTGTGGAAGAGCCAGTGGTGCCTGCCCCACTGCCCAAGAAAGTCTCCTCAGAGGTGAGCGCTTGGCCCTCTGGGATCCACATCCAGGATCTCTTGCCCAGACAGGAGCTTAAAGGGCACAAGTTATTGACAGAAAAATAAGGCAAAGGCCTCTCCTGTCTTAGGCAGGGTCTGCTATTCCTGTCTTTAGGAAGATTTCAGTCTGACTGTGTAATTGGGCCTCATACAGGAGACATTAGTTAGGAAAAAAAGCAAGATTTACATAGTTCAACAGAAGGCAGGTCACCAGCCAGCACAGCCAATCGTTGCTGCAGGAACTAAGAAGAAGGAGCTGTCACTACAGGTTGGAGCTCATTTTGAGGGATGGGTTCCATCTGGGTTGGCGGAGAGCAGGGGGGGGGGG